AATAATTTTTTAAATAGTTGGGCTTTATGGAGACTCATATCATACCATCTGGGCACTCATCTCTCAAAAAGGCCTGAGTGTGGGCAATGAGCTGGTAGCAAAGACAGTCCAGCAGGAAGAAACTCTCCTCCTCCCTTTCCACTATGGTCTAAACTTCTTGAACTGGAACAGCTGCTGACCTGGGCTCTGAGGGACGATATCAGTGGAGTCCCCAGGAGGGACTCAGTGGCAGCTGGGCAGGGAGTCCTTTATGAGAAAGCTTGCTAGTCAGACCCTGGCACAAAGGTTCAGATCAAATGCCCCTGTCCTCCTGTGAGTAGAGCAGCAGGCCCAACTAAAATATAATCATCTGTGCCTTTCTCTTTCCTTACCCTTTTGTTGAGTTGCCATGGGGACTAGTATTTGTAGGAGAACTCCCAGCCTGCTTTTGACAGACACTGGCATTCTCTTAGCATAGAGAGAGGCTTGCTGAGTTGAGCAGGAGGAGGATGGGAGCCTCATAAGTAAAGGTCAGCCGATGGAAATTCTGCTGGAAGGTGACCCTGTTTGCAGGTGTGTGGGTCTTTGGACCTTGGCTACAAGGTCATGTCAGTATCTCTTAGCACACTGCCTGATTTGGCCTGCCTTGTATCTCACCATGTTCTACCTCAAGTGGACTATCTTAAAGCAATGCCATTAAAACTTGCTCTGTAGTGTCCAGCCTTTCTATTTAGGTGTAAAGGTACTACCATTTTTATATTAAGATGATGAGCAAAAATAGAAATATTCTTCTCACACGAAGTGCACACTAATGTAAACTATGGGCTTTAGTTAATAATAATGTATCAATATTGGCTCAAGTATAACAGATGCAGCAAGAAATGCAAGATGTTAAAAGGAGAAACAGCGTGCAGGAAAGAGAAGGTATATGGGAACTTTCTGCACAATTTTTCTGTAAACTTAAAGTTGCTCTAAAAAATAAAATTCTACTTTCAGAAAAGAAGTATCATTCATGTATGGACAAAGAATAAAAACAAATGAACATGAAAACAGTTACGGTGACCTTGCATATTGGTGCTTTTCAATACTCAGATTAAAATAGAACAAAGAAGAGAGCAGTAGGTATATTCTGAGTGCTAATGCAATGGCCTAAGTACAACCATTGCCATCCAGTCAATTCTAACTCATAGTGACCCGACAGGACAGAGTAAAGCTGCCCCATAGAGTTTCCAGGCTGTGAATCCTATGGAAGCAGACTGCCATATCGTTCTCCTAAGGAGCAGCTGGTGGGTTCAAACTACTGACCTTTCAGTTATCAGGCGAATGCTTAACCACTGTGCCACAAGGACTCCTTAAAGCCAGACTAAGGCCCCTGGAATTCTCATCATTTAACATCCAAAAAAACCGAACTCACTTATGTCAAGTTAATTCCGGGTCATGGTGTGCTAGGGGAAAAAAGACCCCAGATTCAAACACATTTTATAAAGACCCTTTTATTAAGCTTTAAAAAGGACAAAGACAAAACAGATACAATCATTTGGATGAGAGAAACTGTCAGCATGAGGCCGATGTAGTCTGCAGACTCACAGCCATGGTTTTCATATATATGATTCAGAACAAAAGAAATCCTTACAAGACAATGATTTGTGGCAGGTCAATCTACCACTGTCATAGATGGGACTACAGAAGGGGGTGAGGGAGGACCATGATTGGGATATAAATGTAATTGCAAGTTAAAAGCGGTTTACAGAATGGGTTCTGGGGATTTACCATCTGGCTACATGGTGATTGGGGTATGACTCATGATCATGCTACTTGGAATTATAGCACTAGGACCCCAACTCTTAACTTAAACTAATATGGCTATTTTCAGTAAAACATTAAGGACACATCCAGGCAAATTCCTGAGTTCTCTGTGTGAGTATCTTTCTGCCTACTAGGTACTCTGCTTTCACCCACATTCTTCCTAAGGGCAAACTGCCCCTCTCTGGGCTTGCCCTGGACTTGTCTAAACATTGCTGATTTAATGGTCAGAAAAGAACTCAAATGACATCTGAACTTAGGTCAAGACTCAAAATGGAGTTAGAGCTCCGGCTGTAGACCACAGCTTTCCACAAACTAGGTGCTTTAGAATTTAAGGTCTAATGCATTAGTGGCCCTATAGAACAGAGTAGAGCTGCCCTATAGGGTTTCCAAGGCTGCAATATTTAAAGAAGCAAAATGTCGCATATTTCTCCAAATCACCTCTTTTAAGTTAGCAGTTGTGTGCTTTAGCCAATGCACCACCAGGGCTTCTCATTAAACACAGACACTTTTAATCTGAATTCTTCAACATGTGCGTTATACTTTTTAGCCATGGGTGTCATCAGTCAACCATAGGAGGGTTTTTAGCTATGTTCTGTGCACTGATGCCATTACAGCTTCTCAGAGAAACCTCTGCCCTGAAACTGTGCCCTTAGGATATGGTGACAGCAAAGGAGACAGACCCAGTATGGTAGAGAAGAAAAACAACTATTAGAAGAATTTAGCCAACTCCACAGTGTGTTAAGTGACTCCAGTTGCAATCAAATCGTTTCTGACTCACAGTGACCCCAGAGTCAGAGTACATCTATGCTCCAGAGGGTTTTCAAGGGCTGGGGAAGTAGATTCCCAGGTCTTTCTTCTAAGGTGCACTCTGGGTGGATTCAAACTACCAATCTTTAGGTTTGTAGCTGAACACAAATTGCTTAGGCCACCCAAAGACCATTAAGTGTCTATATACCAATAATAAAAGTTATAGAACAACTCTTATTTACTGAATGTCCATGGTGTGCTATACTGAATTTAATCTTATTTCATCTCTAATAGTCCTACAAGACATATGCTCTTATGCTGTTTATATATGAAGAAACTGAGCCTTAAAAGGCAGGAGTTTGTCCAAGGTCACAGGGCCAGTTTACATCCTAGGCACAATTTGAGCCAAGGGCTATTTGATTACAAAGCTATCTCTCCCCATACCACAAAAACACAAAACACAACCACTGCCATGGAGTCGGATCCAGCTCATAGAGACCCCTCCTTGGGTTTCCGAGGCAGTATCACTATGGAAATAGATTGCCCAACCTTCCTTCCAAGTTTCCTTCTGGTTAGCAGTCAAATGCCTTAGGCACTACGCCACCAGAGCTCCTAACCTCCGCATACCACAGGCTGCATAAAAAGTAGGGCTCTTCTGCCACAGAATCAGCCCACTGTTGAAGATAAAGCATTTGGTTTCTCCAATCGTTTTCTTTTGAACCCTGTGGTTGCATATATAACACCTACTCAACATCTTTTAGATGTCTCATGGGCCCTTCAAACGCAACAAATGAAATTGAATTTATCATCTCCCTCCTGAATGTGTCCAAATCTAAGTGCTTCCTATCCGAGAATGCATCCCTGGGTGGTGGAAACAGTTAACATGCTCAGCTGCTAATGTCAACTGGAGATGAGTCCACACAGAGGCAACTTGGAAGACAGGGTTGGCAATCTATTTCAGAAAAATCAACCCCTGAAAACCCTGTGGAGCCCAGCTCTACTCTGACACACATGGGGTTGCCTGAGTCAGAACAGACTTGACCCAACTGCATTTGGTTTTATCCCAGAAAGCAAACACAACCATCTATCCACTTGAACAAGCTAGAGAAAGTGTGCCCTCATCCTTGATTCTTCACTGGTCCTCACCCCACATGTTATCACACACCAAGTCCCATGAGTTCTACCTCCCACATTCTCACAAATCAGCTCACTGTTGTCCCACTGAGCTGCCACCACCCTCAACCACCTCAACATCATCCCTCCTCTGGACTAGTCTTCCAAACCATCCCTCCAGCAGCCCCATTAGGTCACCCCCACTTTAAATTCCTCACTCAGACACAGGAGGAACTTTTAAAATGCAAATGTATTGCAATTAAAAATGCAAATAGGAACCTGTCATTCTCCCCTAAAACACCTCAGTGATTTCCCTTTTGATCTGGGTGAAAATAACTTCAACTTATCCTTAAGATTTCAGTGGAAACATCATTTTCCTTAGTTTCCTCTTTGATTTCTCAGTCCAAGTCAGGCCCCTGTCACCTTTTTGGCAATGCCTCAATGTCCCTGCCATAGCACTAAAGTCTCTTTTCTCCATTGGACTCCAAGCTCCATAAGGAAAGGCCAGTGTCTTCCTGTTTACTGCTGGACCTCTAGCACCTGCCACAGTGCCTGACATGGAGTAGGCATTCAATACATATTTGAAGAAGAAAAAATGGAGGGAAGAGGGACTAAAGGGAATTGAGAAAAAATAAGGGAAGCAAAGAAAACTAGTTATAAAGGTGAGACTACTAAACTCATCTCTATAATCAAAAAACAACTCCAAGGATGTTGGTAGAGTTATAACATTGCTGACTCCCAAAATAATGTCATCAGTGAGAGTAATTTCCTGACACCATAGATTTGTATAACCTATTGCCTAGCCCTAGTGGCACAGTGGTTGAAGGCTCAGCTACTAATTGAAAAGTTGACTATTTGAACCCACTAGACACTCTGTGGAAGAAAGATGAGGCAGTCTGCTTCTGTAAAGATTGACAGCCTTGGAAACCCTAGGGGATAGTTCTACTCTGTCCTACAGATTCACTAGGAGTTGAAATCAACTCAGCAGCAATGAGTTTTTTGGTTTATAAATGGATGTATAATAATCATATCAAGTGTAACTTGTTCCCAACCAAATTCTTTATCATTCTTCAAAACCTGGTTTCCCAAGGGTCTTTTCCATCTCCTAAATGTCAACACCATCCTCCCAGTGGCTTGGACCATTCTGACTCTTTAATTTTTAACCTTACCCAACATCCACAGCAAATTGTGCCAGTTCCATCTTCAAATTCTTTTGAAAATCTGAGCATCCCTACTCTCAATACCCATTCCAAACCCACATCACCCCTCCCTCCACCATGATTGTTGCAGCAACTGTCTCCCTGATTCTGCTCTTGTTTTCCCTCCTTTCACTCCAGCCACCACTTTTCTTCAACACAGCAGGCTAACAAATCACATCACTCCAGTGCCTTCTCATCTCATGCAGTCCTACTTTTATTGGACTACTTAGCATGGTTCACATCATAAGCTGACCCAAGATAAGGGTTTGGGTGCAAGGAGGTTATTTTGGATGATGCAGTGGTGGTTCAATGGTAGAATTCTTGCCTTCCATGTGGGAGACTTGAGTTCAAATCCAGCCAATGCAACTGATGCACAATACTCTTCATCTATCAGCAGAGAACTGCACATTGTTATGCTGAACAAGCTTCAGCTGAGCTTTCAGACTGAAATGAACTAAGAAGAAAGGCTTGATGATCTTCTTCTGAATACCAGTCAATGAAAATTCTATGGATCATAACAATTCTATTCCCAACTGCTCACGGAGATGGCGCAGGAGTGGGCAACATTTTGTTCCATTGTGCATGGGGTCACCATGAGCTGGGGCTAACTCAACAGCAGCTAACAATAATGACAGGTTATTTTGGAGGGAACACTCTGTAAAGGTATAGAGAGGGAAAACAGGAAGAGAAAGGAAGCCTAAACAGGGTGCCTTATTGAGCCAGTGACTGACTGCTGCGGAAAACTGAGGATCAATCATGCCAGGGAACTCTGGAAGACTACGTAGAATATCTTCAGAATGATCCCCACAAAGTACAATGAAGTTGGGGTATTTATCCTCCAATTCTTATCTGTCTTTTACTGAGAGCTGCTCCCATGAGCCTCAGCCCTCTGGCACTTCCAGCCTGCTTCACAAAGGAGTGAAGATGTCCTCGGGTAAAGTCACAGCACAGGTACTGGGATTCTGAAAAAGTTTTTAATTCTTCTGTAATCCAGAGTTCTGGGGTCCCACTCAGGCCACTGCCCTGAGCTCTTCTTTTGAACCTTGAGCCTTGAGCACACTAAAACCAAAAAACCCAGACCCACTGCACTGAATAAATTCTGACCCATACTGACCCTGTAGGTAAGAATAGAACTGCCCCATTGGATTTCCAAGATTGTATTTTTAATGTGAGCAGACATGCACATCTATCTCCCATGGAGCAGCTAGTAGATTTGAACCACCAACCTTTTAATTGGCAGCCAAACACTTTGGCCACTGTGCCAATAGGGCTCTTTTTGTCAGACTGCTTTTAACCCACCTACTGCCATCAAGTAATTTCTGACTCAAAGCAACCTTATTGGACAGAGTAGAACTACCTCATAGGTTTCCAAGACTGTAAATCTTTATGGAAGCAGACTTCCTCATCTTTCTCTTATGGAGCAGCTAGTAGGTTTGAACAATATTCTTCCTTATTAGTCAAGACCATGTTGACTTGGGCATTGCGCTCCTTTGAAGAATTATCTGTGTATAGTCAGTTTCCAGAAGAAGAAACTCCAGGGTCAGACTGGAAGTTGCTATTTAGGGTAAATTGTTAGTATGTAAACACAGTTCCTCGGCCCTTTTCCATGGTAGTGTTGGTAAGATGGGGCTAAGGATCTTTGGAAGTTCTTTTCTTTTTGGAACACTTTGACTCTCTAGTCAGGAGTGCTGCCCAATTTGCAAATCATATATTAAATGTCAAATAAATTTGTATCATTGGCTTAACTGGACTTTTGTTTTAATAACACTAAGCTGGCATGAAGGGGAATGATGAGCACCAAGAAGACATGGACAGGGCACATGCACACCAGCTACGAAGGCCTGATGTAACTCTCCTTCCATGCTCCCCTCACCCCCTTGTCTCAGCCTCTGCCTCCATGCTGTTCTCAACACACCAGGAATCTTCCACATCACAGCCTTCACTTCCTATTTCTCTGACTAGAATATGTCTGGCTTCCCAGGCCTGTCCAGATCTCTCTACCTCACCTCCTTTAGGTCTTTACTGAAGTGTCACCTCCCACAAAGCCTTTCCTGACAACACTGCTTTTAATTGCACCTCCAACCCTGTCACCCTAAGGCCTACTTCCTTGATTGATTTTTGCCCATAGCACTTGTCAGCATCCAAAATGCTACATGTCCTACTTATTTGTTTATTATCTGTTTCTTCCCACTGTAACGCAAGCTTTAGTAGGGTAGGAATCTTCTCTGTTCATCTGTTTTATCATCAGCACATAGAAGTGTATGGCATTCATAGCAAACAAATAAGAAAAAACACAAACATCAAATACCACTAAAATTCAAAATTTCCCAAGGTGAGGAAAAGTAACATTTATTGAACATGTACTGAAGGTAGTCATCAAGAGTTAAGAATGAAAGATGAGAAACAGCAGACCAAGAGCAGTAAAACACAATAGCAGTGCTGGTGTGTGTGTGTAAGAAGGTGTTAGTGAAGGGATAAATAGACATGTGCCTCTCAATACCTCCAAGAGCACCATAGAGCACAGATACTTGAAAACGAGACTAACTGATATTTATAGCAGATTCTTTTCTTATAAATGCCTTGAGCACATTCTTTCTTCCTTTTTTTTTTTTTTAACCCCCTAGAAGTATATTTTTTTAAATTTCAGTACTTACAGCCTTCGCTATACTTCTATGTAAAATTATCCACATTCCCTAAAAATTTCTGGCTGATTGAGTGTTCAGGGTATGGAGTCCCTAGGTGATGCAAATGGTTAGCATGCTCAGCTGCTAATCAAAAGGCTGGAGGGTTTGAGTCTACCCACAGGTGCCTCAGAAGAAAAGCCTGGTGATCTACTTCAGAGAAAATCAGCCACTGAAAATGTTATGGAGCACAAGTGAACAGGGTTGACTCCATGGGAACTGATTTGGCCAAGGTTCCTGTGCAACAATGTATGTATGCTGATACCAAACCAAAAAACCAAACTCACTCCCATTGAGTTGGATCCAACTCACAGCAACCCCTGAGCAACATCTGCGGCAGTATCTCTATGGAAGTAGATTGCCCAATCTTCCTTCTGAGAAGTGGCTGGTGGGTTTGAACCACCAGCAACCCACCAGCTTCTGGTTAGCAGTCAAATGCCTTAGGCACTATGCCACCAGAGCTCCTAGTTGACCAAATTCACAATGGATGCTCAGATGAGGTGCTCTCCTGAGCGAGTGTAAGCAAAGTTGAAGTCACTCAGGACCTCAACACCAAGTGATCTCCTTTCTTCCCTTGTGGATTGATTACTAAATAAGCATTAACATGGGTCTTATAACAAGAACTTGCTCTCTTAAGCAATTATACCAGATACAGTCAAAGGGAGGCCACATGCTGTCCTGGAGCAAATGCAATTTGCATCAGCTCACTTATTTACAAGTGAGAATGTGTTTCTCCCATAAATTATATTTTTAATGCATAGTTTCATTTTGTGTAGGAACAAATGCATAAAAATGACTACCGAGTGATGACATTTCCTAAGATTTAATTTACCCACCCACCACTCGTCCATCAGTTTGTTGTACTGTGGTGGTGCACATGTTGCTGTGATGCTGGAAGTTATGCCATGGGTATTTCATGTATCAGCAGTGTCACCCATGGTGGACAGGTTTCAGTGGAGCTACTAGACCAAGATAGACAAGGATGGAGGACCTGGTAATCTATTTCTAAAAAATAAAAAAAGAAAGAAAAAAAATGGCCAATGAAAATCTTATAAATGGTTGTGGAATACTGCCTGATATACTGCCAGAAGATGAGTCCCTCAGGTAGGAAGGCACTCAAAATAGGACTGGAGAAGAGCTGCCAAAGTAAAGTCAACCTTAATGATGTGGCTGGAGTAAAGCTTTTAGGACTTTCATGTGCCAATGTAGCACAACCCAAAATGAAAACAAAACAAAACTAAAAAACAGCTGCAAACATCCAATAATAATAGAAAGATGGGATGTATGAAGTATAAATACAGGAAAAGTGGAAGATTTGTTGCATTGAATACTAATGACCAAAGACCAAAAGAACTCTGGATGACATCAATGGTGTCATATATGAAAAAAGCAAAAGGTCACTGAAAAGACAGGTAAGAAAGAAAAGACCAAAATGAATGTTGGAAAAGACTCTGAAACTTTCTCTTGAATATAGAGTAGTTACAGCAAATGGAAGAAATGATGAAGTTAAAGAGCTGAACAGAAAATTTCAAACGGCAGCTTGAGAAAGCAAAATAAAGTATTATAATGAAATGGGCAGAGACCTGGAGTTAGAAAACCAAAAGGGAAGAACATAATCAGCATTTTTTTTTTTTTAATCATTTCAACATGTAATCAGTATAGAATTACGGTGATATTCTACATTGCATTTTTTTTTCATACTAGGTCTTCAAAATTGCATGTGTACTTTATACTTATAATGTAATATAATTTGGACTAGCTACATTTGAAGTAGTCACATGTAGCTGTTGTGTTGTTGTTGTTGTTGTTGTTAGGTGCCATCAAGCCTGCTCCAACTCATAGTGCCCCTATGTACAACAGAACAAAACACTGCCTGACCCTGTGACATTGTCACAATCACTGTGCAAATCCATCTTGTTGAGGGTCTTCCCCTTCTTTGCTGACCCTCTACTTTATCAGGCATGATAACCTTCTCCAGAGAATGGTCCCTTCTAACAATATGACCAAAATATATAAAGTCTATCTATTCTCACTTCTAAGGAGCATTCTGGCCATACTTCTTCCAAGACAGATTTATTTGTTCTCCCAGTTCATGGTATTTTCAGCATTCTTCACCAACACCACAATTGAAATGCATCAGTTTATCTTCCTTATTCATTATCCAGCTTTCCATGCATATGAGGTGATTGAAAAGATCATGGCTTGGATCAGGTGCACCTTAGTATCTTCACAGTGACGTCTTTGCTACTAACACTTAAAAGAGATCTTTTGCAGCAGATGTACCTAGAAATTGTCATCTAATTTCTTGAGTGCTACTTCCATGGGCATTGATTGTGGATCTAAGTAAAATGAAATCCCTGACAACTTCAGTTTTTTCTCCCTTTATTGGTGATGTTCCTTATTGGTCCAGTTGTAAAGATTTTTGTTTTCTTTATGTTGAGGTGTATTCCTTACTGAAGACTGTAGTCTTTGATCTTCATTAG